AGTCCCAGCTACTCGGGAGGCTGAGGCAGGAGGATCGCTTGAGCCCAGGAGTTTGAGGTTGCTGTGAGCTAGGCTGATGCCACGGCACTCACTCTAGCCAAGGCAACAGAGTGAGACTCTGTCTCAAAAAAAAAAAAGAAACAAACTAAAATGTTGACAATGATTAAGTAAGGGCTTTTCCTCTCTTCTTTTACTTTTTCTAAATGTTACAAATATTTAGAGAAATTGTACTAGTTTGTGACCTCATCTCTTACCACTTTCCCTTCACTCTGTTCCAGCCATAATACCTTCTTTGCTATTTTATGAATATACTAAGTCTGTACCTCCTCAGGACGATGTGCTTGGTATTCTATCAGGAATACCCTCCTTCTCTTCCCACAATACATATCCTCACATAATTACAATAATGCTCATGTATTAACTCTGATGCTAGATAATAAAAGATTTTATGGTGAATGAATAAAGCAAATCATAATGAACCTACCTGTTTTCTTTCTCTTCAATGTCAGAGGTACTGGCTAGTCGTCTTGGTATTGTAGGTGCAACATAGGCAAGCCTAGTTCCTTTACTATCTTTCTCCTGCACAACAGGAGAGAAAATGGGTGAAAATAAATCTGTGTACTGATTATAGGGACTGCTAAAAGTATCAGAAAAAGGTTATTCAACAATGTATATTACATAGCCATCACAGTTTACTTTATAGTATTTCCACAGTTCCTAAACTCTAAAATTAATGTCTATTAGCAGTCAGGTATTACACATGCACTAAAGGATAACTTGCTCAAACTCCTTTTCTTTCTCTTTTAAGTCTAGAATTAGATAATATTTTAACATAAGAAAGGAAAAAAATCCTCCACGTTTTAATGATCTTTTCTAAAACTTCTATAATAGATACGTAGTGTCATAAACTAAAATATCATTATTTATTCCAGAGAAATAAGGTCTCAGATATGGTTTACTGAGAAATCCCATTTATGTTATACAAGCTATTCACAACCTTGATAGTCTATGTTCTAAAATATATCAAAATATTCAAAACAAAAATTATTTAAATTACATTTATCCAAATACGGTTGAGAATGTGTAGCAACAATGACACTCGGATACATTCCTGGTATACTGCTATAAAATACCTGGAAAACAACTGCACAATGAACTTTTTCTAAAAAGCAAAAATATTAAAGTTAATCAACCAGAAATTTCAGCTCTGAATTTCTGATACAAGGAAACATTCTTAAATAGAGAAAGAAAACTATATGGAAAAAAATAATACAAGCACTAAAAATGCAATAGAAATAATCTAACTATATAAAATAGCATTGAATGAACAATGGTACATCCTATTTGATACATTAATACTGCCTTTCAAAATATAGTTATTAAAACTACTTCATTAAATTGCTTGTATATATCAGATGAAAACGCTGGTAAAAAAATTTCAGATTTTAGATAAACGTAACTTACGAGTATACTCACATTTTAGAATACATGTGATCCTAAGTTTTTTAAACTTCAGAAAACTTACTGAATCATAATAAATAAAATAAGCCTGCTCCTTAATACATTTTACTGTACATTCTCAAGTAAAATAATAGATTCCTTTAACTGAATATAGTCCTTTAATTTATGTTTTCGGCAACTAAATGTGATCTTTCCAGTACTTACAATTAGATTACATTTGTTTTATATAATTCATTAAATTGGGTGAATTAAGTTGATACTTAGATACAAGATATCTAGGAGAAAATCCACTAGGATTTGATGTTCCTGAAAAAGAAATTATTAGAGTCTTTATAGAAACCAGATTGTGAAATAGATTACCTTTTCTTTATTATCCAAAGAGGAGGAAAGTCTGGGACTTGAAGCTGAACGTATAACACCTGCAGTGTCTTTTTCTTTCTGAGCCTCTTTAGATGCTGTGATTTCAGCAAGTGCACCATAACTGCCAGTCTTTCTAAGCCCTAATCTCCAAGATGCAGGAGACTCATCTTTTCTCTCTTCTTCTTTGGGAGAAATTTTTGTAGTTGAGGTTGGAAACTTTTTATTTCATTTTTTTAAGGAAAGGAAAAAAGAATTATTAAAACTAATCCAGTCAGTCTTTAAGTTAGAAACAATAAGTTTACAGATAATATGTCTAAAATTATAGTTAATAGTCTCAGGAGGAAACACTTTTACTAGGTAGGTTAATGTCTTAGTCAAAAATGTAAAGATCTAAAAATGAAAAATGAACAGACTCCCTTTCCAGAGGTTAGACTTAAGAACACTACACACTTTATATCACACAGAAAAATTATGATGCAAATACAGAAAACAAATGAGCACACCATAAGGACTTAAAACCATGCATCTTTGGAACCAATTTATATTAAACTTGTTATGTTGTAACCTAATATGAATTCTTGCACGTAGAAATGCCTCACCATAGATTTTTCACCCTTACTGGGCACAAGAACAATGCCAGTTTTGCGCAAGCCCTGCCTCCATGATGCAGGGTCTACTGATTCCACCACAGGCATGATAGGAGCAATGAAATCATACTAAAGCCAATTAAAATAAGACAGGTAAAGAAATAAAGATTTGAAAGCATGAAAACAGAGAAGGGAAGTCAAGAACAAAAATACTTTTTTATTTTAAAAATAATTTTATAATAAATTGAAGCCCAATAATTGGGTAATGAGCCAATCTTTGAAAAACACTGGGAACAAGTTCTAGATTTACCATGAGATAATCTGAAAAAAATATAATAAAGAAACTTCTAAAACAGTTGAAGGCATATAGAGTAAATAATACTACATCATGTGAATGAACAAACTATGGCACATGAATTTTGTTTTTATCCATTTATATACTCTAGTTAAAAATTTTAAATCCAACAATCAATAAAAAATAACTGATATTTTCTAACTGTAATACTTAATTTAATAATATTTTTAATATCACGGCCTTAATTTTACTGTTTGATTTTTCCACCAAACATTAACTTCAACATTTCAACTAAAAACTAATTTTATGTACAAGTACTTATTCCATTTTTAGGGCTTTCCAACAGCCCTAAAAATGCAACATCTGTTATCTTTAACTAGTTCACTTCATCAACTTCACTTGCAGAACTTAAATATTCAACCACAGTTAACTATAGATTGGTGAATATAGCAGTTAACTAGTTACTCCAAGTATACGGTATTAATAATTTTAAAAAAATCAGCCAGGTGCAGTGGCTCACACCTATAATCCTAGCACTTTCAGAGGCCAAGATGGGAGGATCGCTTGAGGCCAGGAGTTCGAGATCATCCTGGGCAACACAGCCAGAGCCTTCTCTACAAAAAATAAAGAAAATTAGCCAGGCAAGGTGGCGCATGCCTGTAGTCCTAGCTGCCTGGAGGCTGAGCTCGGAGAATTGACTGGGCCCAGGAGTTTGAGGTTACAGTGAGCTATGATGATACCACTCTAGCCTGGGTGACAGAGCAAGACCCTGTCTCAAAAAACAAAAAATCCTTTCTTCCGTATTTATTTATTGCCAAAGTTTGCTACAATTAGAAGGTTAATAGAGCTTGTTAAAGTCCCCATGATACTTAGGGGGCCATATCACAGACAAAACTGTCATAAGATACCTCTGGTACTTCCAGTAATTTCTATCAGTAGGGTCTAAGCATTCCTCAGTTCCCAAAATGTATACCAAAGTACTCCAGGGAGCCATAACAAAATCACAGGAACTCCACAGTATATTTTAAAGGCTTGAGAGAAACAGGGTGACATCTCTTGGACACTGTACAAACTGCCATTTTAAACTTACTTGCACCTAACTACTTAATACATGAGACAAATGGATATTTCTTTTGGCCAAGTGGCACCGTGAAAAAAAACTACTGAAACACTAGGGGCTCCAATGACCAACAAAGTTTGGAACCTCTGTAATATCCTATGCAATATGATAGGTTTTGAGACAAAGTGCTTATCCGACTTGTGAGTTTAAAGGTCTAGACTCTAAATTTTAGGCTTGCAGATCATAGATAATACATAAATGAATGAGTGTCATTGTATTCCAAAAAAACTTTAGAGACAATGAAATCTGAATTTATGTCAGAAAATATTCTTGCTTTGATTTTTTTCTCCAACGATTTAAAAATGTTAAAAACCATTTTTAGCTTGTGGACTGTACAAAAACAGGTATGGGGTCAGGTTTGGCCCACCAGCCATAGTTTGCCAGCCCCTGCCTTACTCCTCCACCCTTGAAAACTGGAAACAAATGTTTTTCCTCAATGATAAAATAGCCAGATAGCTACAATGAGCCATGACTGCCCCACTGCACTCCAGCCTGGGCAACTGAGTGAAACCTTTTCTCAAAAAAATAAAATAAAATAGCCAGATAGCAGATAACATTTACTGAATGTTATAACAGAAGCTAATATTTAACAAATGTTTACCAGTATCTGCCCTAAGTGCTTCACAAGGGTTATCTTGTTTAAACTTTACAACAACAAAATACTATACTTTGGTTATTTTAGAGTTGAGAGAAATGAGGCAGTAATATCAATTTTGAAATGGGCAGGGTTTTTTTGCCCTGTTATGGCTGATATACTCTACTCTGCCCAACATGAATTTGGATTCAAGTACTAGTTTATATGTTTAAAAGCAACTTTAATTTTTATTTGGTACATAAATAAATCAACCTTTCTGAAATACCTGACACGCTGACTACCACACAAATATTTTTTTCCCTGGGGCCACGGTGCTTTATTAAACAAAACAATACTTTCTAATTTGTTATTTTTTATTGTTTTCTGTGCATGAGTTATATGCAACACAATCCACATTTTTAGAATTAAACTGTCAATATTAATTATAACAATAAGAACATCAACAGGTTAAGATTTTCACGAACCAACTGCATGGTTTTGCTTCAGATGGCCCCAGGCTCAAAACTAGCCTGAGTTAAATACAACTCATATAGCATTCAATGTGTTAGCTATACCTCTTCCCAGAAACTCTCTTTTGCTTTTATAACAGGAGGCTATCTTGACATCCTCACTTTTTTTGACCACCCCTTTTCTAGAGTTTTTTTTTTTTTTTTTTTTTTGGTTAATAACTTTTCGTGTCCTACTGCTGCAACACAAGCACTTCGAGAGTCTGCTCTCCTATCTCCTATCTCTTTCTACTTTCTTCTCCTGGAGGCTGGGAGTAGGGTCTTTTCTACTTCCTCAAGCTAAATATTAATTGTATTCAGCTTATTCTCGAATTTGTTATTCTCCAGTCCGACTCCTAAATTTCCAGTCCCGAATTTCTGTTTGCCTGTAGAATGATCTATGTATATAAGATTGGAATTGGAACTTGAAATTCAACATGTCTAAAATCAAACAACTTTACTTACAAATCATCTCTTCCTCAGTTCCCTGTTTCTGTTAATACCACCGTTATCTCTTCAATTCCTTATGTTTTAAACTCCACAATCATGCTAGACTTCTCTGTCCTCTTTCTTCTCATAAATTGTCAAGTCTCTAATTCTCCTCCCCTCTCCTTTATAAGCCTATGCCACTTCCCTAGTTTATATTCTTATCATAGTAGGCAACTTCAATGACTTTCTAATAAACCTTTTCACAATCAGCCTCTCATCCCCAAATATATCTGTACACTGTTGCCAGAATAATATTCTATAAAGAATAATTCTCTCATCGCATTGTTCAAACATCTTCCATGATTCTCTACTACCTACCAAATTAATTATAAATGTACTACACTAGGAGTGAAGACATTCCACAATTTGGCTCTACTTTTCCTGTTTTATTTTGTGTATATATATGCACCTATAAATCAAACTGAACAATCTGTTTTTCTTGCCAAACACTCCATATTACTTCCACTTGCTCACACTGTTTCTCTTCTCTTCCTTTCAACAAATTATACATATCTGCCTTCTCTCTCTGTTGAAGTACTACCTACTTATTCTTCAAGATCTATCTCAAATGTTCTAGTCCTATTACCTTAAATCAAATACAATTTGTACTTTTAAATCATAATGCTACATCTGTACACTTCTATTGGCATACTTCATAAACCCACAACACATAGCAGTCTTTTGTGAGATTATTACAGTTATTAAATTGGATTCAATTAGCCAGAACACTTAATTCCAAAAAAATTCTGAATTTTTACCACCCAGTAAAGAAAACAGGATTTACATTTAATTGGAATATATACCCATAAGAAGAATAGGTAATCTGTTTTAGTGATCAAAACAATACTTATTTTGACTGGAGAGTTACATAAACTTATGGTTAGTTAACAAAATCAAAATTGATGGTTTAACAGATAACATCTCCACAAATCATCAGCCTGATCTTACTGTTGCAGAAACAGTTCTTCAATTTCAGCTGAAGAGTTAAGAAATTAAGCAAAGACCATTTAGGCTAGTTTTCAGCCCAGGGCTACATGAAGCAAAATCCTGCAGTTGGTTCAGTTTTGGAATACATAAGGTAAGATAATTCATTCACATAGTTTCTTGATAATCAAAGTATGTACCAATGAAACCCATACATTTCTGTCACTAAGAATTTACATTATTGCTTTCCTTGGGAAGTGTTTTAGAGGAGAATTATTACTACCAGTACAGATGTTTAAAAAAATTCTATAGTTTATGGTTTCAAAAAGGTCTACATTTCAACCACTTAAAACCAAGTACAAATATTAGCAAGACTGACAATACAATAGAAACACTGTGAGAATTTAAAATCAGTCCTTAAATCCATGCAAACCAAATAATGTCAGACAATCAACAAAATAATAAGTCCAAAAGCAGAGACCCGATAACCAAATACAATGGGCAACCCTCAAGTGGGCCCTTTATTTTAAAGAACAGACAGCTAGAAAAGACATTACTAGAATGATAATTGGGGAAATCTGAGTATGTATATTAGTTAACATAAATAACAGTATTATGTTAAAGTTAAATTTCCTAAGTATGATTATTTTACTGTGGGAATGAAGGATAATGCCTTTGTATTTAGGAAATACATACTGACATATTTAGGGATGAGTGTTATGACTGCAATCAATTCTTTAAGGGTTTTGGGGAAAAAAGTGTGGCTGTGTACAGAGAGGAAAATGAGTATGCTCGTTAAAGGTAAGTAAGGGATGATGAAGAGAACCCTTCAAAAAGAGACCAGTAGATCAAACCCCCTGCCCAACAAACCCTTAATCTTTAATTTGGGCTAAAAGGAGGACAGGTTCTAGAGAAGCAGGGAGAAAAGGAAAGCCTTTAAAGAGATCAACATGCTAGTTGGAAAATTGCTTTGGTGGAGAGAAGAAGTGAGTGGGATGAAGAACAGATGGAGAACAGAAAAAGGGAGAAGAGGAAGAAATGAAACTAACATTTTGGGAGCACATTTAGTTACTAGCCAGGCTCTCTCTTTCAACAAACCCTTACAATATTAATTTTCTTTGTTAATTCTGTTTTGTTTTGTGACAGATAAGGAAGATAGTAAATAACTTGCTCCAGGTGAAGAGGTAGGGGCAGGAGTTGATCTCTGGTTGTCTGACCTCAGAGATCATGCTCTTACTGGCACACCATAGTTGCATGCCTAGTGCTTTGTACTATAAGTTAGAAAATCTAAATTCTAGTTCTCACACTGACTCGTGATAGTACTTTTTGTGCCTTACTTACCCATGTGTGAAATTATCAACATGCACCTTTACTTAATGGAGATAAAGGATATAAAACCTGAGTTTCTCAAAATAAAAGTTCAACATAAATAAAAACTACCATAATCACTGGTTTTAATATTATAAAAATGTTTATCTATCATTTATTTTTACCTACCAACTATATGTAATGTTTGTTAACAATCAACCATAATCAACTATCAACTGTAATATCAATTGCAAAAAGGATACCTCCCCGTCAAAAAGACTTTAACATGGTTCAGAGGAAATTTCAGTCAAATTAAAAACAGAAAAATATATTTCTATTCTAAAATCTTAAATATTTCTGGAATAAAATATAAAAATTCAGAATTGTTTCAATGAGTTAGTCCAAATAGTACTTAAATAGAATATATGTATTTTTAGCACACAAAATTTTGGCTTACCTTTTTAATAGGTGATGTAGGTGTTGCCTGACCTGATGACACAGTGGGTGTTGTAACAGCTACAGGAGCTGCTTGTGTGCTACAAGTGTTGGCATTAGTTACAGATGCCATAGGTTTTGTCTTATCTATTAAATGAACAAAAAATTAAGAGTCAAGATTCTATAGGAATTTGGTTGCAATGGTTAGGAAAATATTCATTTATATTCTATTTTTGTTTTAAGATTTTGTTAAGTCTTTCCACATTGCTATGTGTTTTCACAAGAGGATTTTTCAAGTTTCTAGAAACATCTCTAGGGTGTATGCTGAAGTAAACAGTTAAGATACCATGAAAGACACACAACGAAGCTTCTGAAAATAACAAGCACAAATAGAACCTGATTTCTGTACTTTTATAATTAAGAAAATTTTAAAAATTTAATTAAGATTTAAAATTTTAATACATGAATGCAATGTAACTAAAAAAATGAATAATAGCTATGCAATTTTCTAATGGATAAATAACTACTATTGCTGATCTAAAATGGACTGCTTCTCTTTATTCTGGGAAATTTAAAAGTGCTTTTAATAATCAGCTTATATTCCTGTCAAACAGTATGATTAAATGTCCCAAAAAGCATGCCTTCCCACTCCTAAAAAGTCTAAAGGTAAATGAGGACAATACTATCTTCCTGGAAAATAATCTACCTAACTGTGGAGAGAGTCACTGGACAAATATTTATTAAATGTCTCCATTCTTCAAGTACTATCCTAGGTACTAGGGATATATCATCAGCCAATGAAAAGACAAAAAACCTTCACTCCATGGAACTTATAGTAAGAAAATAAACAAAATAAGCCCCATGTACCACCATCCAACTTATTAAGTAAATATTGTTAATACTGTTGAAGTTTTTTTACCCATTTGATTTCAATGAAGAATGAAAATTTCAAGTTCTAGGGCGAAAAATCCTACAAGCAAAAATATACTTCTCCCTTTTCATTCCTTCAACTATCCTTCAAATTTATAAATTGTCTGAACGGCAATTAAAACTTTTGGTTGAGTTCTTATTTTTATCTGCGTTATAAGAAGAGAAGGAACAGTGAAGAAAATTTATGAAAAAAAATTTGACAAAATAGTTATTTTACGTCAAATAGTTTCTCAAAGAAACAACCTTACAAAACGTAGAAAAGGAAATGGTTTAGAAATGGTCAAATCAAGCTGCAGCTCTCTCTATAGTCAAATGGGTTGCTTTTTCAAGTTTGCCAAATACAGTATGATAAAGCCTGGTTAATATTAGAAGACTGACAGAGAAGGAACCACACAGCATTTACATGGATTAATTCTTGAGACTGTCAAATTTTCCTGGCACAACTGACCACTAGCAACAGGAAGAACAAAATTATCATAGTACAATGCTTCACAGGAGCATTTAAAGTTAGCTCAGTGAGAAACCGAGCAGAGGACAACTGGTATTAAATTCCAAACAGGGAACTAAAAATAATAGAATGCAATTTGATGGTAGTCAGTTATATTTAATGGAATAGTAGAGTTTAAAGAAGTATCCAGATCACGTAGTCCAATTCTTCTCATTTTATAATCAAGAAAATTTCAAGCAAAACACGTTCAGGTCTGCTAGTTAGGGGTAAAACTGGCCTAAAATTAAAGTCTTTTGTTTGTTTGAAATAGCTCCTTGGTGTCTAACACTCAACAGTATACAAGGGCCAATTAAGAAAAAAGTTAACAAAAACCTAGAAATCTATGAAAGATCTGCCTGGACTTCCAGTTCCTGAATTCTACTAAATAAATAGAAAAAGATGTGACATGTGAGTTAGGAGATCTGGGTGCTAGTCCTGGCTTTCTTGTGCATATGTGCATATAGTTTGATTTGTAATCACACAGTTAACTATACAGACTGGGAGCCAAGGCGTGTCTCCCAGGGAAGAGACTAACTACAAAAAAAAAAAAACTTTAAATACTTGCAAAAGTATCTGGATCGATTTAAATATCAGTACATCATTTTATCTTTCAGTTTTTGTAAAATGCACAAGGAAACAGTACAATTTAACTGAAGTGATTTTCGATAAGCATGTATATTGACTATATTTAAATTAGAAAAGTTTAACTTTATACAATTATTATATGAAAGCTAACAGTTATTACAAAGTAACTGATTATTATAAAGTATCCACTGAAAGCACTTATTACCCTAATTTTACAGATGAGAAATCTGAGATTAAATAAATTACCCACACATACAATTATATGCATGAACCAGTCTATGTTCTTAAACACTACGCATGCTGATTCTCACAGAATTTGTTTTTATAATTAGAAATATTTTAAATTAGCATATTATACAAATATAATGTTCAATGACTACCTATTGCTTGCATCCAATTTTATCCATATGATTATCTCACCAACGCAAAGGATATGTTGAGTCATAAGACCAACAATATGACAGCAACAAAGAAAAATTTAAATTCCTAAGTGACCAGAGTCTAGCTATTTATGAATTTCACAAACTCTTGTATATTATAGAAAAATTTACTTTTTGGATTAGTAAGCTAACAGAAAATAAAGGAATCCAAAACACATCACCTGAGCAACAAAGCTAGCCCGTTTATCTTATTTTTTAATGGGAAACAATTATCAGTATATTCCTTGACTTGTATTTATTTAGTAAATCTTAGCTTCTCATATTTTCTTAGAGGAAATATTTTGCTGAGTGAGTAAAAAGAAAATGACTCAAAGAGCTGCTGGTGTATCTAGAGGAAACAGATTCCAAGAAATTTTAGGGCTCCATTTGTCTTTACCAATGACCACTGAACTGGTCCTGATGATGATGACTTTTTTCACTGCTCAAAAATATTAATGGAAGTAGAATATTTTCTTCTGATAAATTTATATGCTAAAATGCTGGGTTACAAAACTCAAAGATGCAATATTAGTATTTCATGACATTCATTAAGTTTTGAGTGATTAACTGATGCAGATTAAGAAAATAAATGTTATTTAATAAAAGCAATTTGGTAAACAAAATCTATAAAACTGTGGGCCCACAGGAAAAAAAACCCACAGAAACCAGGTCCTTGATAGGAAAAAAAAAAGGAATGTAAGTTTTTATAGTGGCTTTGTAAAGCAATTTGGCAATATGAAAACTGGAAATGTGTG